AGGATGTAAGAATTTGTATGCAACCACCCTTGATTATCATAATAGAGAGTTGTTCAGGATTAATGTTAACAACAGAGCCCAGTGTTTGTCCCTGGAGTCTGTACTTGGAGTCTCCCGTACTAGACAGTCCCTGAGGTCATGCTCAGAGGTGCCCAAGGCACAGATAAAAGAACAAGGAAGGAGCCCTCAGACTACTACAAAAAAGAAGTCAAGCACCAACCAATGTTTTCCAAGGCAAAACATGAAGGAGCCAGGGCTCTGCTCCTAAGCTTCGCAACAAGAAATGTGAACACAGTCAAGGATTAAAATTAAAGAAGGCCTAGCAACAGCAGCCTAGTTATATACAAGTGAGTTGTGTCCACGCCCTTCTTGAGGAAATCTGAAGCATCTACAATTAGTTGAAGAGTGCAAACACTCAGGTGAAGAAGACAGAAGTGAAGGACAATAAAGAATTAAATGCAAAAGATAGAATGCACTTGATTACACAAGAGACTCCATGAAAAAAAATCTCATTCCTTAGATTTAAAATAAACCACTAGCAAAAATTCCATTTTGATAAACTTCAACTTTTTTAAAAAGCTCAGGTAACAGTTATTTAAGTCATAGTCCAAAAATTCATAATACCTCCAAAGAATTGACCCAGATTTTTAGAGTTGGTCTAAAGGGAAAGTGCCTTGTTCTTGAGAAACTACTCAGAGATGGTGTTAGTAATCTAGATTTCTGGCTTTCATGATTCTATGAAAGATTTTTGTACTTTCTATTTGATAGAGGACATGAAAAGCTAGTCCAAACCAAAAGCCACTATAAAAGACCCCCAATCCTCCTCTATTTGGAAGCAATCCTAAATATATTAGTCCTTTAGTGTAGAATTAAATTCATAACTATACAATTCAATTGTCAAAAAAATTGAAATGGCATCAAAATTACAGTTACAAATTACAGCAATCGAGAAAGAAAGAACAGGAAGAGTGACCTTATTAGCATTGGTAAGGTTAAGTTTAATAAGACAGGAGCAGTGTATCTTCCATGGATAAAGTATAAAAACACTTAAAACAATTAAGAGATCTTAGTAAGGGTTCTAACTATGCCCTGATCAGCAAGACAGGCCTTCCAAGGTGTCTTTAAAAATGGCTCATAAATCCACAGCAGCATTGCCAAATGTCAGAATGTACTTTAGATACATAGCAGTTGGATAAGCCAGGAGGTTCCCCAACAGCAGCTGATTGAAGAGCAGTGGTTCTGGAAATGTTACTCCAGCCTCTTACCTACCAGTTGCATGTGCCATACTCGGGGGAACTTGCTAGGCAAGCAAAACCTCCCATCTACTGAAGCAGAAACTCTGGGTGGGGGCCCAGAAACCTGCATACACCAGCCCCCAGGTAATTCTGACTCAAGGACACTGCTGTAGAAGATACCACAGAAATTTTGAGCATGGGATCAAGCACAAGATGCCTAATTAAATGTATACAAGCCAGTGTTAGTTAATCCAATGCCCGTCCTTTTAAGTGGGCGGCACAGACTAGGACCTTGTTCAAAACACACTTTGAAAAGGTCCTCAGAGACAGATCCAATGGAAAAACCATATTTTTTGTATTACCATAGTAACACAAAGCATCATTTACTCTTATTTTTAAAAAGCCCCCTTTGCAAGGGACATTATGTACAGAAAGAACACTTGATCTTGGGGAAACAAAATTTTGGAAAAGCAAATAGAGGCAACTCAGCCTTGAAGGCTTCCATACAGTACACCTCTACAACCCACTTCTGGGTGAATGCTCCCTAATAAAGACTGCCCATTATGGAAAACATGTGTCCTAGGCAAACCTCCACTGTCTACTTTGAAAGATGGCATTTCCAAGGAAGGGAGAAAAGACACATCTTACTTCAGTTTCTACTGATCCTTTGGTCCCTAAAGGAAGGTGACATATTCTACCTCTATCTATCCTTCACAGCCCAATGACATACTTCTTTCAGGTCTACAATAATGTTTCTTATAAAACTCTGTGTCATATATTTCATTTTTGTGTGTAGCTGTTATTTTTATGGTTTATACATAGCTTCCATGTTTACCAACTCATTTGATTTTATAACAACCTGTGAGATGGGTACAGTTTTATTATTATTATGAAAAATTGGAACTTAGTGCTAACTTCAACAAACAATTGACCACTGAGTTTTAAAGGAGATATATAAATGCTTTGCATAAACACTTAAATAATTCAGGACATCCATATCCAAAAGGACTCCAAAACTCAACTGAGTTTGTCATTTGCCAAATGATATTCACCAGAAGTCACTAAGGTAGGTTTTTCAGTTGAGTGATATTTTTCTGCCTTAGGAAGGGTGAGGAGCAGGAAAGTGGAAAATATTAAAATGGACAAATTCTCCCAGTCTCTGAACTCAACTAACCAGCAATGGGTCTGGAATTCTATAGGGCTTCAAGTAACAGCAACAATAGCAATGATGATGGCATTAAGGTTAAGCTTTTACTACATTGCAGGCACCATTCTACGTATATTAAATATATTCAATAATCTTAATATCATCATTTTACAGATGAAAAAAAAAAGAAACTGAAAAGCCTAAGTAATTTGCCCAAGACTACAGCTCTTGTTCCCTGGACACAGAGGAGGAGGTACAACCCAAGTGCCAAGCCCCTGTGAGGTCTGCCTACTAGTGATGGAAACCAGACATGGGATGGTAGCAGTCACCACAGGAGTCTGGGTTATGTTTCCAATGTTGCCATTTGGGCAACAATCTCCACACTCTGTCACTCAAGTCATTAATCAGCACTCAGATTCGAACTAATTAAGCAGCAACTCAGACTCCTAACAGCCAATTCCTTCTCAGACTATCCCAAGGAAGGTTTCCTAGATCTCAGTGATGAAACATTGGTAGATTTGCCTGGAACTGCCTTCAACTAATTTAAGAAAAATCAGAGAGAAAAGCAGCTTTGGAAGAAACATGGCAAATTAAAGATGCATGTGGGAGGCAGCAGTTCTAGTAAACGCACAGAACTAACAGCTCTGGTGTCTCTTTTAAAGAAATATAAATAAAAAGGAGTCCTTACTGGTGTAAATTACTCCTGCTTTTTTTAAAAAATAGACTTTTTCAACTGTTCACATTTTGGGATTGTACACGCCAGCTTTTACATATTGATTGATCTTTTATGTTTATATATCTTTTTCTTAAGAAACAAAGATTAAACTGAAGAGAACACTGAGGCAAAAAAAGAAAATTTCATGATGAATGAATTCAGTCTTCATGGATGAATATACTATGAAGGAGGTTGGGGAAGACAACTTTCAAAGACTTCTTTAAATTTAGTTGCCTTCATTGTTTTCTGTCTCTAATTTTCATCATCTTGAGATCTAGAGGTTCAATGGAAATCCAACTTAACAGCAACTTCCATGGTATTCTACATAATATCCCCTTAAAGCAAAGTCCTAAACCTGAGACAAGACTCTACCAACCACAGGTTATCCATATTTCTTCCATACCTACCTACTGTGGGCCCTGTGTGCTTTACTTCCCCTTCTACAAAATGCAAACGATAACGATACCTTCATCAGGTGGGTGTAAAAACTTAATGCGTTAATAAAGCAGAACTCTCTAAGAGTGAGTGCTCACATAGTGTTAAATATTACTATTATTTGGAAAAATTAGGTCAGGAAATGGTATCCAGAAGTCTTGCACTGTATCTGTAATGTTTCATTGTTTCTTAAATTTTTTAATGAAAACA